CATTATGCACATTGACATTTTTGCTAATCTTAATGGGGGAAAATTGAAAGCAATGGGTCACTTAGCAGGAGCTTAGCTTTAGATGGCAGTTTTGATTTACTGCATGACAAGACCCCCATCGTCTTTATGCACACATGAGTCAACGTACTAAGGCACTGAACAAACCTATTCTCACACTATGCTAAGCTATAATGTGTTTGCTTAGGATAATACTCTGTGCTGCGAATCCTACAGTTTGGGGATTGTGGGAATATACTCAATTGTGATTTCATCAACAAACCTTGGCTTAGCATGTTGATACATTCTTCCAAGTAAGCACACATTGGAGGAACAAGTCTTTTTTTTTTTTAGCTGAATGAAAATAAAGGTCAAGGATGGACTGCAACTTTATAGCTCCTCTGCCCCGAGACTTGCTTGACCAACTAAGGTAGGAGAAGCTCCTGGGCAGAACTTCTCAGCTGGATGGAGGGAGGGGCTTTTCTTCTGCCTGGATCCTCAGAAAGGCCGTGTTTCTTTTTCCCCACCACAAGACAGCCAGCTAGGCCTGCTCCCAACTGAGCAGGAAGGCTCCCTGGCTGAAGCCTCAGTGTGCTTGGTTTGTTTTTGGCTACTTCTTGTGTTTGACTCAGTTATTATGGTACCTAGAGCAGGCCATGATGGCTTGAGCAAGGAACTGGTTTAAAAATGCTGGCTTAGCATTTTGCATGGAAGGTATGGAGCACTGAGAGGCAGTGAGAAGTACATCTGTGGGGGAGACTTTGCCTCTTCACTGGGAGATTTATTCCTCATTTTAGGAACTCACATTTCTCCCCACAGCAACATAGAGGAACTGGCACTCCAATAATGCTCTATTCAAAATGCACGCAAAGGTCCTTCAGACGGTTTTGACTCTTAAAGAAACAATGCTCATTATGGTCAGAGGAGGAGCTCCACAGTGCACATGGCCTGGTGTGATGAACCGCTGGAGACCGAAGGTGGCTGCGGCCTGGCCCAGGGGGAGCCATATGGGTCCAATTCTTGCACAGCAGCGCCCAACTGAGCCACAGGCCCTTCACTTGAGTCACATGCAGTGTGCGCACGCATGTGGGGGGGGTGTCATTTCACTGGGTTGCAGCATGATCCAAGCCATGTTTTACTCCAGAGTAAATCTTTGATGGCCAGTGGGTTTAATTCCTAAATTTTCTTGCCATGGGAGTGCAGCGACCCTCTTGGTATGTTTGTTCTTGGTGGAACTTTATTCAGGCCCCGGAAGACCCTAGGGCAGATGGGTCATTTGAACTGCCCCACCCCATCCTCCCCTCTCCTTTCCTCCTGCATCATTCTTGGGTCAATGCAACTTTTCTTCGCCCTCTCTCGTGGCCTTGGGAATCCCTGGCCGCGTAAGGGAGGAGCGGAGAGGCTCCCAACTACGCGGCACTATCTATTGGGCTTCTTTGTAGGATATTTTGGGTTTCCCTGCCTGAAAAGTAGCGATCCGAATGCTCATCTCCGACCCCGGACCCATTGCCCTGCCCAGCTGGGACGCCAGCAATTGCCTCCTGCAAGGCGTGATTCACGTCCTAACGCCCACCCTGGAGAATCATCGCGAGGCTCTGGACAATGACTTAGAAATAAGTTCTCTTCCAGGGCGGAGCCTTCATTCTTCCTGGTGCCTTAGACCGTGGGATCGCGGCCTCGCTGCCCGACTCCCCAGGAGTAACCCCTCTGCCAGCCGCCCAGTCCTTTTCGCTCAAAGACCCCCGGCGACCGAGGAAGCGCGCTGGGACTGCAGCCTCCTGGGCGTCGCTCGCCGCATCCTTTCGGTTCTGATTCCACCCAGCGCCCCTGCCTTCGCTGTTTCTTTCCGAGCCCCCCCCCCCAGCCTTTCCCTACGGCTGGGGCCTGGAGCTCCCCTGGGGGCACTGAGTTTATTCTAAACCATGTTTAGGGGAAGGGAGACCCCGATTCCCACCTAGCCTGCCTTCCAGCCCGGCTTGCGATCTGCCCCGCCTCCGTTTCTGCTCGGGGCTAATGACCCGTATCTCCCCTGTTAGCGTTTTGCATCATTAAGTCCTTGTTTATCTAGTGGCTGCTTTGCTTACTCTGCCGGGCTCGGCTGCGGAAGAACGACCCGCTGCGGGAAAGAGGAGGGACCTCGTGTTAATCTGGCGCATTCTTCACGGCTTTCTTTCCGAAAGCACCGGAGTCATCCACAGGCGGCCCAAACGCAGCCTCCAATAGCCCAAGCGAAGCAGAACGGGCAAAAAAGGTGTTCGTGTAAACCCAGCTGGGTTGTAGTCTGAATCGAGCAACACAAACCTAAACCAATCCCCTCCCCCCCAAAAAACCCTGCCATCTCGAAAACTTATCTCCCGCCTTCCCTATGGAGGAACCGCGTGCCGGCTTTGGCTTTTTCCGCAAGTGAATTGTCAATCCGTTTTCACATCTTGTCTACACGCGAAAAGCTGGATGGATCCTTCGCAGGCTCCATCGCTTGGTTCTCCCACAGGAATGGAAGTAGCTGGCAAGAAGGCCGGAAAAAGGATTAGGTCGCCTTCGCTCCGAGTCAGGGTGAAGATTTTTGTTTCGGGGGGAGGGGAGCAATTACGGCCGCATTGAGTCTACAAAAGGCAGCGGGAGAATATTCTCGCCTCTCAGGGAGT